AAATAATGTTCTTTTTAGCAACATCATATGACCCCTTTAAATCAGACTCATACCAGGCATTTGAAAATAAATGATACCTGGTACAGTCTTTCTGTAATGATGCAGACTTCCTATTAATTTCCATTTTGAATGGCTGTTGTTTACAGAAGACTATAGATTGGTGTGCTTCTTTAACAGAAAAACAGCATATTAAATATTTAGCCATCTGGAAAACCTTATTTATTCAGTCAGTAAAAAGTAGAATGTAAAAATAACTAAACATTCACTTGTGGGTTTGATAAATTTATCCTTTGCAAATACTCTACCTCAAACATTTGGTTGCAATTATCACTCTGACCTGCTTTATGGCCCATTGGGTATGAACATCTAACAACATTAACTTTAACCCTTTTAAAACTAACTTGAAATTATTTTGGAGCTGTTTATTCTGGGCTGATGCCTCAAATTTAATGCAGTGTGATACTGTGAAAACTTACTGGTCAAGTCAATTTACACTACTACACTGACCTTAATGTACAATAAAAATTATAAATATCCATATCATGATTTCAGCAATTAAAAATATTAACCTTTTTCTGTATCCAGATGGAGATCTGCCCCGTTTCATTGGCACCGCGTGCCGTCCACTCAAGACGTTCCAGATCTCTGTGTTATAATTAATCACTGTGGTTACATTGGCCAGCCGTGCTGGATGGAGTGCAGAAGTCACCCACTGTGCAACAGCTGCTGATATTACATTTCCCACAATGCACAAGGAGAGACAGAGGTCACAGCGCTTACTGGTATCATCAAACTGTTGCCGTACTGACCGACCATTGGAAAGTCTGAGTCATGATGGAAGGTTTGAATGTTTGAACTTTTAAAGCACAAAGAATCATTATTTATTGAACACCATTTGTACTCATTAGACTCTTGGCTATATTAAGATCCACTCAGTTTTGACATTAAGTATCTGGGGTGCCCTCTAGTGTTATGAAGAATATGCTTCTATAAGCGTGCAAACAGTAAGTTTAAAGGAATAGTTCACCCAAAAAATGAAAATTTGCTGAAAATTCTTTGAAACAGTGGAAAAATTTAACCATTTATTCACCAATGGATCCTCTGAAATGAATGAGTGCCATCAGAATGAGA